AACTTGGTAATAAAGCCTGGCTAGGATATTACAAAAAAATCAAACCTATAAGCCAATATCATTCCCTAAAAGAGATACAAACATTCTAACAACAACAACAACAAAATAGTAAGCCAAATTCAGTGAAATATGACCCAATTGGTTGTATTCCACAATTAAAAGCTTGTTTAACACTTTTTTAATGTAAAAAACCCATGTGATTATCATAAAAGTTACAAAGACAATATTTGATAAATGTCAAACATATATTCAAGTTTTTAAAACCTGTTAGAAAACTAGAACTAATTTAACCTAAAACAAACATATTTAACGGCGAATTACTGAAAATTGCCCTCAGTGGTCATGAATGAAATACAGAGATCTTTTTTTTATCATTACCTCTATTCAGTATTATACTAGAAGCAAAATCCATCAGTATTCACAGACAACACAAATGTACACATAACATATCCAAAATAAGTTAAAGATATATTCTTAAAATTCGATAAGTACAACAAAGAGAAAATGAATGATTTTAAAGATATCATTTAAAATGGCATGAAAAAATCAAATTACTAAGAATAAATCTGAAAAAAATACAAGATCTGCACAAAAATTATAAAATGTTATCGACAGAAATGAAATAGCCTAAAATAACTAGAAAGCTGTGCCAGATTAGTGGGGCAGAAGACTTAATTTAAAATGATGCCAATTTTCTCCAAACCAATGCACAGCTAATCAAAATTCCAGGAGGACTTTTGAGGAAGTTGATAACTTAATTCTAAAATGTATGTGAAAATTCAAAGTGCCAAACTTAAAAGGGAATAATAAATCAGGAGAACTTATTCTAAAGTAGTAGTTATCAAATTTGACTGTGTGTTATAATCATCAGGAAGATTTTCAAAAACCTGATGGTGATGCCTTACCTTTTACACAATTAAATCTTTATCTCTTGAGGAGAAATCTAGGCATTTATATTTTAAAATCAATCCAGGTATTTTTAATGCACAACCAAGTTTCAGAACCATGGCTCTGTAGCATATTATTATATATAATCTAATAGAAAATATATATTAGATATTGCATATCCACATTACTTAAGACAGGAAAAAATTGATGTAAGGATAGCAGTAGATGAATAGAACAGCATAAAAGGGAAAAGACCCAGTCGTGTACAGACACTATTTCTGAGTAAGTTTAACAGAGTAAGATGATAGAAAAAAGGCAGCTTTTCAATAAATATCACTGCACCAATTGACTCTATTGAAGAGAAAAATAAATATTGCTCTCAACTTCAAACCATATACAAAAGCATAAACCCAGGTAGACTGCAGATCTAAAAGTGAGGGTAAACAATAGGATTTCTAGAAGATAATAGATATTTTCATGAACTCAGGGTAAAGAAAAAAATTGTTGACAACACAGAAAAAGGAAAATACAAATTGACTACACTAACACTAAAGTGGAAAACTTTCATCCATTAAAAGACACAATTTTGAAAATAAAAGATGAAGCTATAGACTCAGAAAGTAATTTGCAACACAGAAAACTGACAAAGATTGAGCGTCCCAAATATATATACACATAAACTTCATCAAATCAATAACAAAAATGTATAAAATTCAACAGAAAAATGAGCAAGAGATATAAACCACCTCTGCAAAAAAGAGTATCTCCAAAAATCCGAGAAATATATGAAAACGTGCTCAATCTTATTAGTCATCTGGGAGACGAAAACTAAAACCATAAGCTACCACTATATTCTTGCCAGAATGACTAAAATTAAGAAGACGGATAACGTCGTGTTACTAAGCATATGAGTTCATTGGAACACACATATACCGCTTGTAGGAAAGTAAATTGGATTACTTAAGAAACTTGTTTTTCATTACCTTCCAAGGCTGAATGTACACATACAACATGACATAGCAATCCCACTTACTTTTATGCCCTATTTAATACATATACATGTAGGCACACATGTACAAGAATTTTCATGACAAAATTACTGGAAACTCCAAGCCAGAAATAATCCAAATGCCTATAAGCAGTAGAATTAATATATAAACTGTAGTATATTCATCCAACGGAATAACATACATACTAAAAATGAATGAACCATATAAAACAGCATGGATTAGTTTCACAAATACAATGTTAAATAGATATACCAACCAGAAAAGAATACATACTGTAATTTTCCATTTGACAAAAGTCATGATGATGGTTACCCTTGAGGGAGATAGTAGATAATGACTGAGAAAGAGCACAGGATAGGGCTTCTGGAATACTTTGAATTTTCTATTTCTGGACCAGGGTGGTGGTTACATGAATGTGTTTACATTGTGAGAATGATCAAGGTATTTACTTTTTTTCCCCTCTTAATTGAAGTACAACATAGTAGTAAAATAATAAGGTATGAAGAAGACAGTCTGGACACACAGAAGGACATACTATGTTCTTTCTCAAAACAACATAAAATGTCAATTCCTTCCAACTTAATCTACCAAATCAATAAATCCAATAAAGATCCCATTTAGATTTCTTACAGAAACAATTGATTTAATAAAAAACTTATTTACAAAGTCGTGAGATGTTATTTCACTTCAGTTAAAACGGCTTTTATCAAAAAGATAAAAAATAATGGATGTTGGAGAGGATGTGGAGAAAAGGGAACATTTATACCCGATGTTGGGAATGTAAATCAGTACAGTCACTATGAGAAACAGTGTGAAGTTTTCACAAAAAAAAAAAAAAAAAAATAGAACTACACACAACTCAATAATCCCACTACTGGGTATATCTCTAAAAGAAAAGACATCAGTATATTAAAGAGACATCTGTATTCACATGTTTTCACAATAGCCAAAATATGAAATCAACTGAAATGTCCATCAACAGATGAATAGACAAAGAAAATGTGGAATATTATTCAGCCATAAAAAAGAAGGAAATCCTCTGATTTGCAGCAACATGGATAGAAGGACATTAGGTTAAGTGAAATAAGCCAGGCACGGAAAGACAAATATCACATGTTCTCATTCATTTGTGGGAGCTAAAAACAAAACAAAACAAAACAAAACAAAAAAAACTGCTGTCATGGAGACAGAGAGTCTAGAATGATGGCTACCAAGTGCTGGGAAGGGTAGTGAGAGGGGGATAGAGATGGGTTGGTTGATTAATGGGAACAAAAACACAGTTAAAAGGAATAAGATCTAGTGTTTGGTAGTACAATAAGGTGACTATAGCTAAAAATAATTTACTATATATTTTAAAATAACTAGAGTAGTAGAATTGGAATGTTCCTAACATGAAGAAATGGTAAATGTTTGAGGTGATGAGTAATATCCCCATTACTCTGACTTGATCATTATACACTGTAGCAAAATATCACATGTATCCCATAAAAATGTATATATATTATGTATCTATAAAAACATTTTTAAAGTCTATGAATATCTAAGCCAATTTAGGAAAAAAGGATTGAAAACAGGGATTGGTCTATACATCATTTCTATATTAACACGTATTCCAAGGCCATAGTTACAAAAATAGTGTGTTTGGGGGCAATTAAGAAAAAAATACACTAAAGGAATAGAAGAGATATTTTAGAGACAGACTGATACAGAGGTGAACATATAATATGATTTAAAGGAGGCAACAAAAATCGATGGCAGAAAGATTGTCAGCTTAGCAAATGGTACCTGGAAATCAGGTGAACTGTATAAGAAAACTAAAATTTGATCCCTGTACAATTCATAGGTGTCCTCCAAATAGACTGAAAACTAAATACAAAATATAAAATTGTAAAGTTGATAAAAACAATATGGGAAAATATCTTTTTAAAGTAGACATAAAGAAAGACTTTTTAAATAAAGCCTAAAAAACACAAACCATGAGACAAAAAATGATTTGGGGCTGGCATAGAAATAGAGACACTGAAAATATGATTACACATGGCAAAACATAGTTTGATTCCAAAAATCAACTTACAAATTAGTTAAATAAAACTGTATGCTAAGCTGGTAACAGCCCATATCAATTCATCACCTGCAAGTATGTGTGTGTGTGTGTGTGTGTGTGTGTGTGTATATGTGTGTGTGTGTGTGTGTGTCTGTATATATATATTTAAACTGGAGCTGACATGTTAATCTTTCTTTTACTTTGCAACATAATATGTAATACATTATTTTGTCTATGAACAGGAAAGGCCTGCCTACCAAAACTATTTTCCTGGTAGTTTTGTCTTGATCTGATTCTACAATTACTTCAATTGTACCACTCTTGAGGCCAGAAATACACCTACAAATTATTCATTGTATTCTGTGTATTCAAACTAACCATGTAAAGATTCTGGGTTGTATATTGGAGATTTTAATGTTCTTTTACCTGAATTAACATAGTAAGTTACACCAAAACTCACTATCTTATTCAATAAGTTAATTGAACTCTGAGTTTTCAACATCAATTTTTTAAAAATTATCTTGTAGCAATAATTTCTATACCTTCAAATTAAAATGTTCATTATTTAAGGAATTTGGAGTTAGGCCACTACAGAGTGAGAAAAACATTGGTATAAGCAACATTTAGAAGCTAAAAGTTTGGGAAATACTTCTTCTGAAACACTGTGCCTTTGATAGTTGCTTTTGTTTTAGCAAGCTCAATTTTATTTTTTATGTTGTAGAAACATAAATATTGATAACTAAATTTATTATTCTTGATTGCAACCAATTTCAAAGCAAACGCAGAAATTGTTCACCATTCAAGGCCTACAGAAAGCTCAAGAAGCTTCACTCAGTTTCTTATCTCTGTCTATCCCACAGTCCTGTCTAGTTTCTCCCCTCTCCAACACCATTGGCTTTTGACCATTCATTGGTCAGTTCATTACTTTCTCTCTTTTGTGATCGCCTTTCCTTTACCAGAACTCACATATTTGCTGTTAAAACTCCCCCCCTCCAATTTTCAAGAGTGTATACTTTACAAGAATGTTCTAGCCAGTAAAGGTATTGAAGAGTGCTTACCTTCAAAATAGATGCCTGCCTGGATTTCTAGAACCCTGGGTAGGGTCCTGGGGTCAAGAGAGTGGACGAATTCTTCCAGTGATAATGCCATTGCTATGCCTTGGGTAGTTTGTAGATCTGGTGCTCACAGAAACTTGTGGCTTCTGGGTGACACTTGTCTGCAATTACAGCCCCTGCTCACCATTTCTTCCTCAGGCAGGCAGGAATGTCACACTACAGTCAGCGTGGGGTCGAGTAGCTCTATATAGGGAGGACAGTGAGGAGGGAGGGAGGAGGCAGGAGACAAAAAATGTTACAGCTCTTTTTGTTCACATTGTGGCTTCATTTCCTTCTGACATTGAAGTTGAACAGGATGGGGGTGGGGTGAACAGACACTGCCCAAAAAATGAGACGTGCTAAGTAACTCATTCTGCCCGTTGTTAATCCAGGTGCGCATCTACTATGGCAGCAAAACTGAGGTCAGAGTTGCTTGTGACTTGCCCACCAACAAAGAACAGGAACATAGGACTAAAGTCTAATCTTAAAAATGGCACCATGTGAATTCATTATCTCTCTAGTTCATTTCTAAAGCTTGGCTTTGTGCCTTATTTGCATACTGTCAGTGCCTTTACATTAAAATTGGTAATAAAAGTGCTTTGTGTCAGCTCTTTTTAGAATTCTGATAGTATACTCTGGAGAGAGTATCGAAACCACTTTTTATTCTTCCACATTAAAAATTTTGCTGCATCTTAAAGGAGGGTAGGGTAGGGATAGAATATGCAAAGTGATACAGTAAGTTAACAAAGTATGTTAAAATGAGTTTTCTAATCTCTACACTATAGTAGAAAGTGTTAAAATTACTTGTCAGGAAACCTGGGTTTTCTGGGTTTAGTTCTGCTTTTGATTTACAGGCTAACTTCAGCCTTGTCTTCTCTGATTTTCATTTGTTTTATTTACTAAATGGAAATGAAGTAGAAGAGTCCAATCAATTTTGTAATTTCTTCCAAGTTCACAATTCCGCAATTCTGATCTTGTTGAAATTTAGGAGGAGAAATTACCAGCATCAAAGGAAGCAGGAGAAACCTCATGAACATCGATCTCTTCAAAATCCTGTTCCTCTCTATTTTTTGCATGTAACTGAAACAATATTTAGAATATGTACAATTAAAGGTGGTAGTTCCTAAGTCTCTTTAAGGCAAAGTCAAAGAATATTGGTCGAGGCTGGGTACAGTGGTTCATACCTGTAGTCTCAGCACTTTAGGAGGCTGAGGTAGGAGAATTGCTTGAGCCCAAGAGTTCAAAACCAGCCTGGGCAACATAGCGAGGCTTTGTCTCTACGAAAAAATTTAAAAAATTAGCCAGGCATGGTGGCACATGCCTGTAGTCCTAGCTGTGAGGAGGATTAGGAAGGAGGATCACTTGAACCCAGGAGTTTGAGGCTACAGTGAGCTGTAAACATGCCACTATATTCCAGGCTAAAAGACAGAGCAAGACCCTATCTCAAAAAAAAAAAAAAAAAAGAATACTGGTTGGTATGTATACACTTGAAAGACGTCAGGAAGCTACACATTCTCTTTAGTAACTAAACTCCAGGCTCTTGTCTATAAACTGTTTTGGCCTTAGGCTGCAGAGAGCATAGCCAGATACAGAGGGTCAGGGGACATCTCAGTTCTACCATGGCCATCATGTAAATGACCTAAAAAGATAAATACTGCCTAGTTTTGATATGGAGCTTATAAAGCTGTTGCAACTCTTCATAATCCTATTTGACATTTTCAATAATCTGTCCAGCTTTATTTCTTTCTTTATAAAAGTAGAATGTACGATTGACCACATCAACAGGCTTACTATCGTTAGATTCAAATTCCTCACTTGCAACCTTTTTGTCCAAAAATTTCCTACCCTTGATCTGTCTGCCTTCCATACCCCTCCCCACAGTTTACAGCCTAGTAGTGTATTTCATGTGGATGAATATATGAAAGAGGCTTCTGTGGACTGCTCCTTAAAAATCATGAATCTGTTAGAATTGATACCACAATAAATTTCATTTGATATCTAATGCAAGCTGGATTTCACTTTTTTTTTTTTTTAATATTCCCAAGTCAAATTTCTATCCTACTAGCCAAACAGCCATTTTGTATCAGCAATCTCTTACAATTACCTAGGCTCCATCTGCTTCTGCTCTCGCAACAGATGACACTCCCTCTGTGATAATCATCTTCTTTGTATTCTCGATCTTAATTAATGACATTACTATTTTCTTAGTTTCCCAAGCCGGAAGGCTTAGAATCATGTGAGATGCCATTTTTTTTCTCTACCCGTTAAGTCCATCAGGCCCTATAGATGACAATACTCAGTACCACTCACTCTGTCTTTGCTCTATATCCCCACTGCTACTGCTTTAGACCAGATCGTCATCACTTCTGACACTCAGGCAAAAACATCCTGATTTGAGCAGCCAAGACAAGGTTGACAAAGAAGAGCAATGAGAAGGTACTGGAAGCATCAGGTAGTAAAATGAATTATTGAAGTTCCATCATTAGAACAGCACATGATAGGTATAATAATAGATTCACGAGAATTCAAAAAAAAAAAAAAAACAGACTGTATATAATAATTTACTATTTGAAAAAGGTAAAATTCCAGCGCAGTGGGGAAGAATGTTTTCTTCAACAAACGGTTGTTAAATAATTGGGGGAAAATTTTTTCCTAACTTTCCATGCAGCAAAATTAAAGTTAGATAAATTTTAAAATTAAATTTAAATAAAAATAAACCAGAGGGGAAAAATAGGAAAATGGCTGGAAAAGGGTAAGAAAATAACTATTGAGTACTAATTGAAGTCTTCAAGGAAAAAACTAATAATATATTTGAAAACTAACTTATGAAATACTCCTGTAAATAAAAAAGGAGTTTGAACAAAATAGAAAAAAAAGCATATACTTCAAATAAACAACGGTTTAGGTGTGTAAAGGGCACTTATTAGTCAATATGCAAAATAAAAATATTCAAAGACTTCTACTTCTGGCTATGAGCTTGTATCTGACCACGTTTCCTACTAAAGGCACCTGGAAGAGTTGTATACTTTTTTAAAAAGCTGTTTTAAGAAACAAGAGAGCTGTCAGGGTACAGAACATGAGAGGCCAAGATCCTACAAAGCAGAGCAGAACCATTAGAGGAACTCCATATTCTGCACTTCTTTTCCCTCAAGGCTTTTATGAGTTAGTAATTGGCACCGAGAGAGTCTGAGAAGCAGAGCAAAAACTGGTGGCTCAGGAGGAGAGAACCTGAGTTGAGTTTTTGGCAGTTTCACACAGCAAAAGAGACCAAAATAAATTGGACTTTGGGACTTAGCAAGTCCTCCAGGCAAAGTCAGAGAAATGTGTTGCTTAGCACCACTTTTTCCCCTTAAAAAATTTTTGCCCATTGAAGGCACTACAGGGTTGATTGTGTGAGACACAAACAAGAGCATGATTGGTATGAAGTTGAAGAAGCCAAGGAATGCTTTCAGCAGTCTTGCAGAACTGGGAAGCCAGGGCCAGCCAAGGAGGGAGCAGTATAAGTAGGAGAATGCTTATGTTCTCCGCTGGGGCTCCTGAAGGCTGCTTCCTAAGAGAAAGGGTTGCCTATAAATAGAACAAGCTTTACAAAAACTGAAGCTTAGACTAAAATTAGCTCAATCCCTCATTGGATTAAAGTGGTCTGCCCCTATTCTCGCTGCCAGATAGAAGCAAATGTAAATCCTCCTGTTGAAGAAAAGCAGCCAGAACTTCTATAATATTTAAAAATACAACATCTATAATCAAGTATGAAATGAATAGAAATGCCAAAAGATAGGACAAAGAAAGACAGAGAGAAGGGAGACCACAGAGACAAACTCATGGGGTGATTCTGATATTGGAATTATTAGTCCTGCAGTTTAAGATAATTTTGATAAACATGTTCAAAACTAGAAGACAAGAAAAAGAACTGCCATCTATAGAAAGTATCAGATGAAAATTCTAGAGTTAAAAAATACAGTAACTGAAATTAAAAATTCAATAATTGGTTTTAACAGCAAATGGGACATACAGTAAGAGAGGATTGTTGAACTGGAAACGGGAGCATAGGAAAGACCTGCTCTCTCTCTCTCTCTTTCTCTCTCTCTCTCTCTCTCCAGAGAGATATTTCAGCCATAGTGGAAAGATCTTACATGTAAACTGAGTCCCAACATGAGAGGAGAAATAATAGTGGGAGAAGAAATATTTTAAGATATAATTGCTGAAGATCTTCCAAAGCTGAAAAGGCATCAATCCACAGATTCAAGACCTGCCAACACCACCAAGGAGGATAAATGCAAAAGAAGGCACACTAAGGAACATCATACTAAAAACGTTAAAAAGCCAAAGTCAAAGAGAATATCTTAAATGCACTCTGAAGAAAAGAAATCATCACTTTCAAAGGATCACCAATAAGATGATAGCTGACTTACTAACAAAAACCAATAAGGGTAGAAAACAGTGGAATAGCATCATTAAAATGCTGAAAGAAAACAAATACCAACTCGATATTCTAAATCCAGAGGAGCATGAAAGCAACAGCAAAATAAAGACATTTTCAGACAAACAAAAACTAAGAAAATTCATCACCAGTAAACTCTCACTAAAAGCGATGCTATAAAGGGTGTTCTTCACGCGAAAGTAAAATAATCTCAGATAGAAAGTCAAGACCACAGGAAGGAATGAAGAGGGTGAATATGTCAGTGAATTGAATATACTGAGTTCCCAAAACAACAATTAATGGCTTGTGGAGTTCGGATATATTTGCACTATATATAATTCATGCAATATATTGTAAAACATAGCAGTAGTGCAAAAGCAAAACTGATAATGAAGTTAAAATGTTCTAAAGCACTAGACTTCTAGAGAAATTGCAAAAGTACTGTTTAATACCAGAGTTAAATGAATAAAAACACATGTAATTTCTAGGAAAGCCACTAAAATGTAGTAAATGGATGATAAAATTAATCCAAAAAAGACGAGAAAGAAAAGAAAAAGAACCTCAAAATTGCTAGCAGATAGTATGATGGTATACATAAACTCAATTATACTCTTAAAATAATTGAAATGAAATAAATATACAAATAAAAAGTAAATAGTTTAATAGTTCAAGTAATAAACTAATGTTGGCAGATAACATTTAAACACATAAATTTACTTAAAATATACAATTTAATTACAGGTTTATAGAAAGTCTAAAGATGAAAAATGGGAAAATATATACC